TATTTTTTATTTATATATTATTGACGTCCATTCGTTTGACTGTGATTTAAAAAATTGACAATTTGTTTCAAATTATTAATTATTAGGTGTAGGTGCTAGGTACCTGGGTACACCTTACAAATCATTTTTTTTCGGGGTTATTTATTAGGCGAATCATTAGAAAGACCCATTTAGTAATATTATTGTTCTATGGTAATATTACTCTATGGGAGAGACCGGTGATCCCAACTTACTGGTTGTTCCATACTTCCGTCATTAGTATAGGCCATAGGGTCCATCGTGATAAGGCCTATAGTTCAATATTATTATCATTATTAATTTTATTGTTATTATTGTGATTTCGCGCCAATTTGTTCGCCACGGCAACACGTAGAATAATTACTCTACTATGCATATTGCATTTCTGCGGTCTGCCTCAGTAGTCAGTATTCAGTTATTTCAGTTCAATATTACAGTAGCGATTTACAACTTTACAAGCTATAGATTTACACCTTAATTTATAATAGTTGATATTAACTTACTATAATAGTTTCTATTTATCGGCCGTTGCTGAAAGTGAGTGGTAGAGAACAATGATCAATTAACGTCAGTCAAATTTCTTTATCTTAATTTGTATAGACTATAGTCTTCTAAATTCTATAACTACTGCAATCTCACCGACATTGGCGACATTTGTCATTTCTTTTTATGTAAAGATAAACTTTCGGCTTTCCTGTGTCTTGTTGTCGTCTAGGTAATATTAATGTGGCTATAATTATTATTTACATAATACTATGTTGGTTTTGCTACTTTAGTACTTCTTTTCCAAGACAATGCACGTTCAAATTAACTCTTGGCTTTCAAGAGGACACCAAACTGACATGTGTTTTCTCTGTATAGCATACCTACTTACAATATAACAAATTGCTTCAGTAAAACCAATTTAGTATTGTTAGCTTAAATATTAGAATGAATTGAAATTAATATCAAATTTAAAGGTAAGAATATTATCTAGACCATTGCTTTTCATAGATTTTTATTTATATTTTAATTTTTAAATTGTAATATTTTATATACTCCTTAATATAAACTTATAATATATTTGTTGGAAAAACACTTTTTTTTAAACTTCAGAAAATATGATGACCTATCTTGATAAAAGTTAAATTCATTCTTATATTAAAATGTATGAGACTAAATCTCAACTGCTTTATATAAATTGACCATGTTATGCACTTGTAAGATGGAGACAACAAAAGCGACTATATGTTGTCTTTTTAACCACTTCAACTTATTGTACAATTATATTTAGCATACCAAATATAACATTTTTCTTATTATTTTAATGCATGTTTAAACTTTCAATACGTGTGAGTTATACCTATTATCATTTGATATTGGTCAAAATTAAGTGTGTGTAAAGGAAGTAAAATTATTATCAAATAGTATGTCAAATTATATTTACTTTACTTTGTTCAAAATATATTTTAGAAAAATGTTAAAAGATAATAGTTTCTTATGGTAAAAAATAGTATCCTACGACCTAGACAACTACCCAATAAACACTTGGATCAAGAGTAAAACCTGTTATAATATTAAGTTTAAGTTTTATTATTCATCAATCTTCCTTACTAGTTTAAAAATGTCAAGTTTTTAATACAACAATTTATACTTGAGTACTTAAAAGCATTTAAATTACTGGGCTTTTTAAAACACTTCACATCCGTCCATAAGCGAAATTGGGGGAGAGGTTGATAATATTTTAGTTTAAAATATCAATTATCAGGGTCTGTGCTGCTGATAAAATTCTAGACCCCCCTCCCCTTCCCTATAAAAATGTTCTTAGTTGTGCCTGTATATTAGAATTTTATATTACAAAACCTCTGGAAGCTATTATTATAATTGCTCCTTGGTGCACTCAATTGTTCATTTTCATCAGTGACCTGTGTTGGGACCCGCACACAGTACACTGTGATTCATCATTCATAGTCAAAAGAAGTTCGATGTTGTTTCCTATCTTTTGCAGGTCATGTCCTAGGTATTGAAAATCCTCGGTATTATTATTTCAATGTTCTACACTATCTTGTTTAAGCACCTTAGCTGACAGAAGAGTGTCCATGATTATTGGCTCCGTTGATACTTGATCTCTTCTATCTCAAGTAAATTTCAAAGTCCCCGTTACTATGTTTGTAACTACCCAATCCACTACATGATGCTTCTTGCAAACAAACACTCTTCTTAACTCATGTAACCCTTGTAATTATTGGTCTTTTTTAATTTTTTCTATATAGAATTTAGCAGTGGCGTATGCAGGGGGGCTAACGGGCGGAAGCCCCCCCCCCATTACCTGTATTGTTATTACTTTTTCCAAGCATTAGCTATACATATTTTATATTTAATACATTTTGAACTACAAATGAATTGTGGTTTTGTCAAAATTTGAACTTTAAATGCTTATAAAAAATAATCTTGCCTATATATTGTATCGTTAATATTTTTAAACAGCTATAATAAAAACTTATAATGAATCTTGTATTAAATATTGAAGCTTTTTGACCAAACAAATAATTATTTATTGACATTTTTAGAAAAATAACTAAAATTCAGGGTTACCAAACAATTTTCATTTATTTTTGTAATTCCTAAATATTTTAAAAAATACTGAGAATTTTCTATTTTGACCTCCCAACAGTACTAACTATATCCAATTTGCTTCCAAAAACCTCCTTTGAAGTTTATGGACAGAGCATTTTTTCTACTAGAAAAGTCGAGAAGTTGAAGTTGTTCAAACATTTTCAAATACCTCACCTAAACATTTGCAATTATTAGACTGACTGGATAAAATAAAAATAAAATAAAATTGTAATTTATTTTCAATCCCCTCCCATTGAAAAATCCTGTGTACGCCACTGGAATTTTGACTAGACAAAAGTTTAAATTGTACCTATTATTAATGTTATGAGGTTCTATTATAACCTTGATCTCAGTGGCGTAATTACGGGGGGGGATTTGGGTGTCGTATCCCCCCCTTGACCATTTTTTTTTTTTTTTTTTTAATCGTGAAACACATTTATGTACTAATTTTATTAATATATATTTCATAGATAATACAAAAATCACCCGAATCTCCATAATATTATACAAATATATAATCATCTATCAATATTATCATATACAGTGTGATCACGATTTTAGGTACCACTGAATATCACAGATGGATGACTTTGTATTGAAATGGGGTTTTCGGGAGGTGATAGGGAGCACTTAAATACATATTTTCAGACCAGTTTCAAATTTTTAGCACACTCGGTACGCGCATGCCGCATGCGCAATATTACTTTTTTTTAAATGGCAACCCTAGTTTTTTCTGCAGAATCAGGTAGAGTATTTATTTTTGAACATTTATTGAACATTTATGCATAATTCGTGTTTAATGATATTTTCATTTATAACCAGTTGAAATAATAAAATAAGAGCCAAATAAATGTTTAATGGCGGACGGAAATCGGCCACAACCGACGCCTTAGTCCACTCAGCCACCCCCCCCCCCCCTAATCAAACATTTATTTGGCACTTATTTTATTATTTCAACTGGATATAAATGCAAATTGCATTAAACACGTATTATGAATAAATCCAAAATTTGACTTTCTCTAACTTGGTCAGTTTTATAAATAGAAAAACTTTCAATACAAAAAATGTTTAAAAAAAAATACTCTACCCGAATCTGTAGAAAAAAAGTGGGGTTGCCATTTAACAAAAAGTAAGTCAAATTGCGCATGCGCATACCGAGTGAGCTAAAAATTTTAAACTGGTCTGAAAATATGTATTTAAGTGCTTCCTATCGGCTATCACCTCCTGAAAACCCCATTTCAATACAAAGTCAGCCATCTGAGATATTCAGTGGTACCTAAAATCGTGATCACACTGTATATACAATATTAGTTATTACTAGGGGCCGGAATTATATTCTTTTAAAATAGCCAAAATAAGATGCTAATATTCTCTTAAAAAGTTGAAAATATTCTTTAAAAATAATAATAAAATATGCAAAAAAAATGCTTTTTTATTAAAATGTTCTCTTGAACTAAAAATATGCATTTATATGCAAAATAATATAAAAACCTGATATAAATAGGTACCTACATAATAAAAAATACTACTTGTTAAGAAAAGTTTGATTTAATATTTAATTATTTTAAATTTTTAACTAAGAACATTTTTGAAAACAGTTGACAACTATATTTTGTTCCATGTTCCCTGATGTCATATTTGTACAACGGTCGGTTAAAATGGTTTTATATGTGCTATTTATATTATTTAGGCCACTGCAACAAAAAATATCGAACATCTACAAAAATTAATCGATATATTCTCTAATATTTTTTATTATACGAAATATTCTTTTATCTTGAAATATTCCCAAATATGCAAAATAAACTTTTGCCATTAACTCACCTGTTTCATGATTTGTAAAGATTTCGAACCCCCGTCTGACTGCATAGACTCAAAAAAAATATGCAAAAGAATATAATTCCGGCTACTAGTTATTACATACAGATCATAATGGTTGTATTCTTGTATTGAGGGGTGCTTATTGCTTATAGCTTATGCCTTATACGATTAAAAAAAAAAAAATGTTGAGGGGGTGGGGGGGTAATTGGTGAAATGTACATACATTTCATCCCCCCCCCCCACAACCATGACCAAATTACGCCACTGCTTGATCTCATATAATTATATTTCATATTGGACGTATGTCTGTTGATTTAATAAAATAAATATTTGTAGCTAACACCAAATTTGAATCTTTAATGTTATAATAGGTAGCTACTAATATATTTGAACTGCAAAAGATTATGCTTGTATTATTAAAATTTAAAAGTATCATGTCCTGGCTGATGGCCATGCCATACAATATATATTATTTAATTAGAATTTTTTTTTTTTTTGTTAACAGAATAATATAAAAATGTTTATGTAACTATGTATCTTTTATTTTTTTAGGGTAATTTTACAAAATGACAAAGTCTGCTATGAGAGGCGCATTAATCGTTTTGGAAGGCTGTGATAGATCAGGGAAAACAACCCAATGTGCAAAATTAGTTGAAGCTTTAAATGGTATGAAAATACCAGCTAAAAAGATATCTTTTCCAGATCGATCTACTCCTATTGGTTCACTAATCAATGATTATTTATCAAGAAAAATTGAGTTACCAGATCGATCAGTACATTTATTATTCAGTGCTAACCGTTGGGAACTAGAACCAGAAATTCGTAAGCAAATTGAGTCTGGTGTAACATTAATTGTGGATCGGTACTCGTATTCTGGTGTAGTTTTTACAAGTGCCAAACAATGCGTGGATTTCAAATGGTGTTGTGGACCAGAAAATGGTTTACCAAAGCCAGATATAGTGATGTTTTTAAAATTATCAACTGGTGAAATGGCTAAAAGATCTGGTTTTGGTGATGAAAGATATGAAAATATTGAATTCCAAAATAGAGTTGATATCAATTATGATAAATTTAAAAATGATAATTTTATTCAAGTAGATGCAGCTCAAGATGTGTCTATCTTAACAGACACTCTTTTAGAGCAAGTTTTAAAAACGATAGAAACTGTTAAGAACCAAGAGTTAGACGATTTAGTTCTACAATAAAACAAAGTTACCAATGATAATTATAGAACTAGTTAATGTTTAATATTTTAAATCAATTTATGAATTTATTCTTTTTCTAAAATAATCATCATTCCCCTTTATTATGTTTTTCAAAATGTGTATAAATAAATATTGTCAATAATTGTTAAGTCACTTTTATTTAGTTTAAGCTTTTATAAATTATGTTAATGTATTACCACTTACCTGACTTTAATTTTATTATTATTAAAATTCATAAGTTATCTTTAAAATAATTTTGGGTAAATTATTGGGTATCTATTGCTTTTATTTTAAAACAAGTTTTTTATACATAATATTGAATATTTATTTGGTGACGTACCTAATATAATATTATATAATGCACTAAGTAGTTATGTGTTTTCATTTAGTCACCATCAGTCTTTATATTATATTATTTATAGTCATTCGAACTCCTACAAAATTTAAATGATTGATTATACATAATATAAAATATATTATTTATAGTCCCTTAATATGTATTAAACATAATAGTATTATACAACAATAAAATCGACAATGGTCAATGGACCAACTATTATAATAAAAGCAGTATTTACACACATACAGGGTACGGCATACCAAATTTTCATTCACCAGTTTCAATAGTGTGATGTAAGTTTTGATATTAGAGTGAATTGACCTACTATCCAACTTTTAAGTAAGAACATTATCTGTGTTCTCTCAATCAGTTTTTTATGATATTTTAATTTTTAACTGAATTTTGAGCATTTTAAAATATTAATATTTTAGTAATTTTACATACACATAACTCATAACCGTGAAGACTAGAATAGTAATAGAAAAAAATATAATATAATATATAAATGGTAATATTTGACGATGGAGTCAATAATGAAGAAACTGCTGGCTTTATGGTTCATAACCACTAACCAGTAAAACCACTACTGAAAAATTGATGCTTAGCAGTTAGCACATGGCGGCTAATTTTTTGTGACCATAGACACTAGTACATTCATGACAAGTTTAATATGTCATGGGTACATTACAATATTACAGTCTGTAATATGTCAATATACATACATGTGATACATAATAGTATAATACTGCATATAGGTAATTTAATAATATATAAATAATAGATGATGTATATTGCAATTGCAGATCCTTCCCAATATTAATCCTAAACAATTCTATCCCAATTTATATAATTAATTTAATTACTTCCCATGACATTCATCAAAGTTATTCCTCGACAAATTCTGTCCTGAATGGCTGAATAGTTATACTTGTCCCGGTAATTATTATTCTGATTTTAACGCGGGCCTGTGCTCTATATTATACATTTACACGGACAGTTATATAATATAGAAATCTATGCTTATACACAAGTACACAACAGGGCTATATCGCATTAAAGGCTAAAGCTGCAGCCTGCAACTATAAATCATAAATGTAAAATAAATAAAATAATCATTCAACATTCATAGTTAACGTCAATTCGCGATTGAAAGGAAATATAGGTTGCGCACTAGTCGATACTAATGATAAGGCTGACGGGTATTATTAAATATTAATTAGTATTTAATAGTATTAATTATTTATTAATTCGTATTTCGTGTGTGGACTGTGGTACTGTACTGTATTCGCGATTGAAAGCGGAACAGGCGCTACCTTGTGGAAGTCATCAGAACTATTACAACGGGGAAGATGTGTATAGTACATGTACTGGTCTACAGTACCACACACGCAGGCGCGGACTGGTAAAAAAGGGCAAGGGATGCTACACAATTTAAAAGGCAAATAACAAAAATTGTTAGGGCAAATTTAAGACATGTACCTACCAACCTAGATAATTTATAAAATATAAATATATTTTATATTGTTTTGAAAAAATATTAAATATTGAATATACGTTAAAAACATAAATGATTACCAAGTTACAACAAACTTTCAATAAAAATTTTACAATATCATAGGTAGATCACTAATAATCTTAAGTTGGTAATAACGATCTGCTGTTCATTAGGGATCTAGAGTCTTTAAATATAAAGTAAATAATATTAATTATGAAATATATTTTGGGGCAAGGGATGCTGTAGCATCCCAGCATCCCAGCCAGTCCGCGCCTGCACACACGAAATACGAATTAATAAATAATTTATTGTAATTTATTGTAATATTATATGAATATTATATTATTAGTTGTATGATGTATGATCATAATTATCACCTTAATAGTAGTCCAAAAATACTAATTAATAATACCCATAAGGCTTGTTCTATTCCACAGTGTTAACCACAGTTCCACAGGTAGGAAATTAATACAATTAATTACATTTATTTTGTTGTAATTAAAAAAAAAACAAAACAAAAAACTGTATACCTATACATAAAAATTTAACTGAATGTTTATATTTTCATTTTCTATACACTGTATATTTTTTTTATTTTTAAAACTATTTTATTAAGAGTTGTACAAAGGAAGTTAGCTACTCTAGTCACAATTAAATTATGGAGTACACAAATCGCCTGAGTTATTTTTGCAGTTTTTTCAGTTCTGTTTAGCATTTTATTTTCTAATACGTTAAACCTTTTTACCATAATTCCAAATGCACATGCGACTATTTTTCTCACACGGGATTGTCGATAGTTGTATATACCATAAACGTTTTTCGTTTGTTAAATTTCTACGAGGGAAATGTCTCATCAAAGTAGGTAAAAGTAGGTAAGCCTCATCGTCAACAAATACAAAAGGGAAATTTCCATTAATATTTTGATCAATTTTTTTGGGGTGCTGGGCGCTGGCAAATCTAATTTATTTTGAATTAATTGTCTACCAAATAAGGATTCTTTGAAAATCCCATTATCACTAGACCGACCATAATCTCCAACTTCTATTACAATAAACTTAGCGTGAGCGTCAACTACTTCTTGCAGTAGAAACTAGAAAGTAGACAAAGTAAACTAAGTAGAAACTAGAAAGTAGTAAGTAGACTAAACAGCACGGGCCTCGGCCACCGGGCGACCATGTTCCCCGTTAGCCTTATCATTAGTATCGACTAGTGCGCTACCTATATTTCCTTTCAATCGCGAATACTCATGATATAAAAACAAGGTATGATCGTAACTTTTTGAGGGTCAGATCCTTCGGTAAGCACGTGACGTAGCGTAGTGTATAGTAATAATAATTTAAAGACAATATGATAATACGGGTAAGCAAGTGATGTCATATATATACTTGTCTATGAGTGATGTACTTGAACCGACTTGAACCAAATCTGGACTTTTGTGATCATACCATGTTGTTTATATCATGACTATAAATTGTTCTATGGTACCATGGCTTAAATATTTAAGCCATGTATGGACGTATGGTACTATACACATCTTCCTCGTTATAATAGTTCTGATAACTTCCACAAGATAGCGCCTATTCCGCTTTCAATCGCGAATACATTTGGATTTATAAATCAACATTGTTTACAATATGTTATTTGTTATGTTGTGCTATCTTTTTGATATCACCCATTCAACCCGGGTACCAACAACTAGTTAAAGTGACTCAGGTAAACAAACGAATGACCAAAATAATAGTAAATACCACGGACTAAGTTGTAAGCAATAAGCATAGTAAGATTAGTCCGTGGTAAATACAAAATAGCCACAAATTGGCCAATTTAGGGCCGTTCTTACAATGTCCTGTAAAGTGTCGGTTAAACGTTGTAAGAACGGCCCTTAATTAGTCCAATTTGGAATGGGTCTCTACTCTCTATCAAAGGTTAGTGCTAGGGCCGCGGGAACCCAATCAGCTGATCGAGTCGCTTCTATATTGTTCTATGGTTGTACTACACTGTTTTTACTTTTTGTTATCATTTAATAAGTAAAAGCTAATATCAATTATTTCAATAATAAATTTATGTTACGACTTATAGAAATACGGAACTTAAAGTAACCCTTAATAGGTACCTAATAATTATTAAATAGTAAATACTTATTTTATATATTTCGTTAGTATTTATTCGAAAGATCGATATGACGATATTGGTTGTGTCCAATACTCCAATCGTTTTCTATAATTAATATATTGGTACATACTCTCTATTCGCCGTAAGAGAAATGATGCCAGACGACAATCCCGTGAACGACCAAAGGATTTCTTTATTTTTGAGAAAACTTTGGACATTGGTCTGCAGTAAAGAAACCGATAATGTGATTACATGGAGCGAGGTAAATTTCCATATTTTAATTTATTTTTCTAAATTATTTATAAGTATTATACAACTTATTATTCCCTTCAATGGCATGCTGAACTTCATTAACCTATGAGGTAATTAGTAATTATAAATACTTATTTAAGTAACTACGTATTTATGTAAATGATAACTGAGAAAGATTGGCGTAGTTTTAATGTGTACTTAATACATTATTTATTATATGTGAAATGACCCTAGTCCCCAGGACACTCACCACCCTTTAAACTAATGCACATGCCTCATATTCCTTCTTCACGCCCCTGATTCCCTTATAGTAGGTTATCCCTGCTGTTAATAGGTACCTATATTAAAACATTTAAGTACCTAAATATTATTTTCTTTTTTAGGATGGTGACAGTTTTATCATCAACAATCCTGTAGAATTCTGTAAGGTCCTACCAAGATATTTCAAGCATAATAACTTTATGAGTTTTGTACGCCAGTTACACATATGTAAGTTAATTTATCATTGTTATTATAAATACCCAGTGTCTTTGAAGTGAAATAAATTCTATGTAAAGTCTGTTGGTAATGCTAACATTACAAATGAATTGTCATTTAGTTACTATTTTAAACAAATTACCTACTAATTTAAATTTATTTTAAAATAAATCTAAATGTTAAGAGTATCTACATCGTACCTAATAATTACAATTTTAAAATACTAATAAACTTACTTAAAAATATGAAGAAAGATAAAAGCCTATGTAGGGCCCTGGATAATATTCTTACCTTTTAGTTTGATGATTGGCCAATTTACTGAGGAAGAACATGTTATGTAGATATAATTCCCTCTTATTGTATTGATTAATGTCAAGAATTATATTTATATAATAAATGATAACTTGGATTATACCTATCCAAACAATTGGCTATAATAATAATATACTTCTATTTAAATGTCAAGTTTAAATTCAAATATCTATTATTTTCTTAATTAGTTACCTACACACTGTCTCATTTAAGAATAACTTTGGGTGCCGATCCATTATTATCCAGTTCGGTCAGACCTTACCCACTGACTAAATTGGTTTTCAATAGCTTTTATTTCCAATGATCAGCCAAAAAACGGCTTTATTGTGTTACTCTTAACATACAAGCTAGATGGTTGTTGGAATAATAAAGTGACATACCCAAGAGTGTGGTACTTTCCACGCATTAATTATACTGATTGCTATCGCCTTGCACATGAGCCCACTACCTTGAGATTCCTGATAAAACTTTTTAAAATTAAATTTTTGATAACAACTTGAATAGTTTTTTTCAATTTTATTGTGACTTAATAATTATGACAACCTATCTTAAGTAACTTATTTCCGAATTTCGAACAATTTGAAGAACAATAGGAACTTTTTGTACTACTCATACTCTAAAATATAATAGTATATTTTGTATTAATCTTATATTTCAGATGGTTTTAGTAAAAGAATATCTGATGTTGATCACACATCTAATCATGGAACATCTTGTGAATATGCTCATCCATATTTTATGAAGGAACATCCTTGTTTATTGTTATCAATTAAACAAAAGAGGGGGGAAAAATTGGTGAGTTAATATGGCTATGAGTTTATGACTTATGGATATAGAATGTTAAATGTATTAATATTTTTATTGATGACTTAAATAGCATCAAGGCTTAAAAACCGACATTGATTCAATTGAAACAATAAGTACATTGATAAAAGAAGTGAACTCAGTTAAAGACAAAAATAAGATTCTTGATTCCAAATTCACTGCTATGAAACATGAAAACGAGTGTTTGTGGCGTGAATTAGCAGTTATTCGACAAAAGCACATGAAACAACAAAGAATTCTCAACCAGGTTTGAATTGAATAATATAAATGGTTATATTATATTAGTTATAAAACTAAACAATTTTAAACTTTAAAGATTAGATAATATTTAGTAATGGTGTATTTTAATCTTTCAATGGAGTAGAATAAAAAAATGTGATGTAATAACTATGAAAATTCTACATAATTGCAAACTATAAGGATTGTTCCTTTTTAAATTTCTACCAACTAAATCTCTAAATAGTAGATACCTCCAAACTGTCAACCAAATTTAAGTGATCAAGAGTGACGGTATTTAGAGGTTTCACTGTATATGTTTTAATTTTCTTTCAACTAATATGCTCAAGCTATAAATAATTTGGGAATATATTTTTTAGCTAATATTATGTAGATTTTCTTTTAAAAAGTTGTTCTATAATAATCAAGTTTCCATTTATTTTAATTCTTCACTTAATATTTTAAATTAATGTCATTGCCATCTATATCTTTTGATGTTAAGTAGTTAAAATCTATTATATTTTTCACTTATACAGCCAGTAGAATTAAGCAACTGATTTGGGAACAATTTATGATGTATAAAAATCTAATATCTGGTGCCAGCCATGACTTATTCTAGTTGTTAGGCTCTAAAAGTTAAAATAAAATGAAATAGTTTTTTTCATTATTGTATTGTTAGTATTTTTAGTATTTCAAGATTAAAAATGTAGTGTGTTGGTCTCATATATATATATATATATATATATTATATTATAAGATTAATATCAGTGTAAATGTTGTTTTTTGATTGAATTATTAAAATATAGTTTGGATTTATTAATTTTTTTTAAAGCTAAACTGTATCTTAAGATAATTGCATTTTACTTAATATAATATAATGTTTGACTTGCTTTCATTAAAATTATTATAAAAAATAATGTAAATAGATATACTTTAAATGTATTATAAATTATAATGATTCCTTAATTCATCTCATTTTTTTATTGAAACTTAATACTTAATAGCAGTTATTATTGCTATTTGTATATAAAAATGATTTTGTATTTGTATTCTTTGAATTTTAATTATAAATATTTTGAATTGCAGCTAATCCAATTTTTAGTTACCTTAAGACAACCTAGTACCAATAATACATTGTGTCGAGAAGTAAAAAATAATGTTAGATATGTTCTTCCTATTATGCATCATAAGGCATCAGAAAAGGCAAATTCTGGAGAAACATTTACTGTAAGTTTCTGTTTTTTTTATTCATAAATTAAAAGTCTTGTACAGTTATTTATAAATTAATATACTTTATTATTGGAAAGAATCCAAAATATAAACCATCTACCTCATCAGGACCTGTAATTCATGAATTAGATGCTGCTGATATTCTGAATTCTAATGAAGATGGCAGAGTTCATGGAGGAATTTTTAAGTAATTTTTTTCAAGTTATTATTAAAATGAACTTTGTATAAATATATATAGTATTATTATTTTCTTTCTTATAGTGATGCAGTAGAGTCAGAAGGTGTGGTACTTAGTCCTAGCAGTGTCTCACAAATGTTAAGTAGTCCTGGTGGTTCAACAATTGAAGAGATATTTGCACCGAATGACATTATATTAAACTCACCATTAGATGACTTAATCAGAGAAGTGTCAGTATCTCCTACTGAAGAATTATCAGAACCAAAAACAACTATTGTAACTGTTTCTTCGCCTAACCCAGTAACAAAAACAACTACAACCAGTAATAAAACTTCTAATTCTAAAAAAAGAACAAAAAAAGACATTAACCCTACGAAGAAAAAAAAGACAACTCTTACTGATAATGTTCAAACCCCAAAACCTGTGCCTTCATCAGTACCATATATCATTAAAGTGGAGCCAATGGGAAATGATCCACCGGTAATTTCTATTCCCGACATGGATTTCATTGAGCCTGAAGTGTAAGTGTAAATCTTAAAATATATAATTATTATTAGTTATTTTGTGATGGTATACTAGTGAGATACTGATAATAACTAGGGTCTGACATATTTTTTTTGGAATACCTATCTTTTTTTTAGTATGCTTTCTTATTCATTATTTATATTTATGTATTTAAGTTAAAATTTCAAGTTTTAAGTTATAGAATTTATTTATGAATATCTTTTTTTCTATGAATTTTCCTGGAACTTTTTGTGTTCCCTTTTTTCTTATTTTTACTGTTATCAATATAGCAGTCAAACCAAAAATGCATATGTATATATGCTAATGCAGTCCAAAGATATCATTTTTTATATCCTCAATTTTGTAAATTAAATTGTGTATTTTAAATATTGAATTTCTATTTTATGTATTTGTAAATTTGTAAAGCAAATTTTAGGTATTTCATCTGATTGGTCATACTTTTCTTGTTATTAATTAATTCATTAATTAATAATTTTTATTGATTATTTTGGGTAATACAATTTTAATATGGGGCATACTGAAATATTTAGTTGCTCATTTTTATATATTTTATTATTTAGTTAATTAATAATTTTTTTATTTTTTTAGGACAATTTCTAATAATGATGACTTATGGAATAATGAAATAACTTCTAATTGTGATAATATGCAGCTTGCTAATCCAGAACCTAGGCAAGTTAATACGTGTGACGGGAGCGGTTCTGAATCACCAAATTTCCTTAATAATGTTATGCAAAAGTATGATTTTGCTTGCTTGGTTATTATTTAGTGTTTTGGGAAATGAAAAGTAGTGTCTAAAATATATATTAAATTTTAGTAGATCTTTATTTATTGAGATGAAAAATCATTTAAATAAATAATTTTTAATTAATAATATTAAAGAAGTTTATTTAAAAGTTTCTAATTTAAAGCCAAATATTTGATAATGAGTCATTGACTTAGAAATAAAAAATTTTTATTTTATTTCATATATATGAATATAATAGTAATATTGCAAGAATTAAAATAATAATAATAAATATATATATTGTATATAAATAAATAAACAGTTTTGGCAGTAGATAAACATTTATGATACAGCAAAACAAAATTGAATAAACAGCTAAAATAAATAAATAATTAACACATACAAAATAAATACATATAAATAGTTAATAACCAATACTAGAACCGGGTAACTAAGTTTTAATTTAAAAATTAAGTTAAAAACGGTAGAATAATAAACTAAAGTAATCGTCGTTCTTAATTTTTCGACCACAAGATAACTCTGTGGAGGTTTTTGATGCCTCCGTCAAACTTGGTTCTAGAAGGCAAGAATTAAAAAAAATAATGAAATACTTATTATACTCTCTATGTTATTAGTTAGGTGATCTGTACTCAAGTTAAACATTCTTATTAACTAGATAATTATTTTATTTTGAATTGAATGTATAATATTATAATAAATTCAAGTCTAAAAAAAAATTTAGAAATAATTGTCATAAAAATTTATATTGACATTATCAATCATTGTTATATGAATAAATCATCAATAAAAATTTTAAATGTGGATTCAGTGGCTGAAATTAATCATGCTACGTGATTGAGAGTAAGCAAAGGCCGCTGCCACTAATTCCCGGATGGGTGACCACCCGAGTTCGTAGTGCGCAAAAACCTTGCCACACATACACGTGTTCCTAACCGACTGTACCAATCGTCCCAACCTTACAGGCTAATGACTTCAGTCGTCAAAGCCTTAAATCTAATAAAGAAAAATAATTTGAGTAAAAAATGGTTGAATATTGCCAGATATAGTATGTAGCAAAACTGTATTGTATAAACTAAAAGTTAAACTATTATAATAGTATATTGTATATTAAGTGGGAAGTGAGCTATTGCAGTCATGGACAACATGTGTGGCACAGGCCGCAGGCAAATGCTACATTTTCCCCAAGACAAATTGCCATCCCACATAAGCCACACATCCTATTTTTTTTCAGCTTTTGCCGCCTCCAAAACTGGGCCAATCGACACTATGGTTATAACAAACTGTTCTTACCATCCTTGTGATCTAAATTCACCAAACTGTAATAGGATAAGAGTAACCCACCTATCAACTAGTATTTTATTTATTAAACAAAACCTATGGGATACATTTGTTATTCATGTTATTAAACTGATTTGGACAGAATCATTACTGTTTTGTTGGATAGAAAATGCAATTTTCCAACCCTTTAACCTGCATCGGAAATTAAACTTTTGCTGCAGGTTTAAAAAAAATTATGAATTCATGTCAGTTCTATATAATTTTTTTTTTTCAGGGAGTCTGTTTCCAAACAAATTGATTTGGTTCAAGCTGACTTGGAAAGTTTGTTGAAAGGATTAAATGACAAGTACACATTTGATGCAAATATGTTTCTTAATGTAAGTAAAAAGTTTTTTATATTACTACATTAATAGTTTTTTTTCAAAAGTTGACTTAAATTTTTATTTAGTTTATTAATGATGATCCAACAAATTTAAATTTACCTATGACATCAGAAGAACAGACACTTAATGATGGTATGTAATGATTCCAGTTTTTTTTATTTAAGTTATAGAATATACAGTGAAATTTCAATTACTCGTCTATCATAGGCGCAATTTTAACTTTTGACTTGGGGGGCTATAAAATATAGCATTTTAAAATTGTATGTCCTAGGTTTTTTGGGGTGCTTAGCCGCCCAAGCCCCCTAAAATTTGCGCCTATGAAGTCTATAAGTCGAATTTTTGATAACTCAAAGAAATATCTTCGCCCCTGCATTTCAATAAGCACACATAAGTTTTTCTATAACTTCCTTTTTTCACCCTTAACCGATTCAAGTTATCGAGGTTTCACTGTATTTACATATATTATGGTGTAATTTTGTGGTTTCGCCTTGGGTATGTTAAATCCTTTTAGCTTTCTCCATGTTGCTTATTTAATATTCGCTGTTGGAAAACATATATAATAAGTAATAACTAATAAGAAATTAACAATTTATATTAATATGTACTCTTATGAAATTTAATCTGATTCTGAATATCTATTTATTTAATTTTAATAATTAATGATTTATGCTTTGATATTTTAGTAAAAAATGGGTTGAATGTTACACCAGACAATCAAATCGTGTCATGTCTATCACCAAATACTTATGATCTAAATGATTTAATGACAGCTTCGGCAGATTGGACAATACCAAACACTCCTATGTCTTTTGATACAGCATATGGAAATGATGTATTAAATACACCAGTTATAACTGATTCTTTATTAAACACTGACTCGCTTTTTCCAAGTACATCACCTGATAGTCTAAAAAAATAATTTAGACAATAAAATATAGATAAAGTTTACTATGTATATTATTTTTTTTTATTTGTTAATATTTGCATGTAATTAAGATCAAATTTTGAAAAAGAAAATTAATATTTTTTGACAGTATGTATAGTAAGTACTCTGTAATTAATTAAATATTGTTTTTTTTTCATGTATAGATATACATTTACATGACATATAATTCAATGTAATGTTATTGATTTGTTGTGTGTATAACATAAAATCATTCATTTTAGTTTCTTAAATTTAACTAATTTAATGATTAACAAAAATGTAATAATTTTTTTTTTAATTGTTAATATTTTCATGGTATTTCAGATTTAAGAAAATTGTTTATTGAAATAAAATAATGTAAAATATATAAGTTTATAACTAATAGGTAATAGTATAACTTGTTGAATGTTATCATGCAAATGTATAATTCCTAGTTTGTTTAATTTATTAATAAATGTTTCTATTTATAGTTTTCTTTGTCTAGATAACAACACAATTTATTTAAATTCATCAACACAACAATAATATATAATTCATTTAATATTTAATTTATAAATAAAATTATTAATACATAATAATATAATTATTAATACAATTAAAATTTAAATATTTTATCATTACAATAAATTAACAAATAGGAGTTGTTTAAAAATATGTTTAAATTAATTGGATGGATTTATTTAAAACTTAATATTTTTGATGTTATGAAATATATTTAATACTTTAATCAACAATACATGCATCCTACACAAAAAAAAAAAAAAACATTTTTATATATTAATACATATTTTTTTGTTTGTCGTAAATAATTTAAAATAGGAAGTTGTTATAGTAAAGTTAAGTTTATATATAAATTATACAATGATTATACAAACTTTATTTTATGGCTTAATTCTTAAATATTTAAATTGATATAAAGAATAAATAACATTTATTCGAAGATGTAAAAAATATTGAGAAATTTGTTTCATAATATGTTGATTATTTCTATTTACTTGACATTTTGCTATACTTATAATTTATTTATAATTTAATGTTATGGATAATGTAATACTTTCACATTTTAATATTTTCAAAAGGCAAGTGTACATTTATAGTATGAAAACATTACAGACAACAGTCTATTTGTATATACTACCTAGTATAAAAAATCTGTACAATCTTTGTACATTTATAGGCCTCTGTGTAGGTGGTTAAGCCATCATTTTATCATGTTCTAAATCAATTAGTAGGTGGATATATTTCCACTGCTTTAGAAGAAAAGTAAAGAAATTTGAAAAATATTTTGTTATCAATGAATAATAAATGTTCAAGTATAATTAATATAGTATAATATTAAATTTAAATAGTCCGTCTATAATCACAATTTATTTCTTAGGAATTATAATATCTATTCTAACGAACATAATAGGTTTTGAAATTTGTAAATAGTGAATTCATGAAAATTTAAAAAGAAATTATTTTGATTTTGAGTGAATGAAGTTTTTTAAATTATACCTATAAGGGATAAAATAAAAATACCATTTTTGCTTTCCTAAAAGTAAAAATTAATAAAAAAAAAACGATTCAATGACAATTTTTTTGGAAAATGTACTTGCTGTTTTAATTGTAGGTTGGTATTTATAATTTTCAATTGTGGGCAGTAGTGCAGATTTTAATTTATAATAACCTGAATGTCTGTCTAATATTCATACAATGGATCCTTATCCTTATAAGATAACATATTATGAACGTCACTTTTACTGCTCCAAATAGTGTTAACTGAATCACATTTACGATTCACCTACTTTATATATGTCTTGTACAGTTGTACCTATTTATAAAGCAAGTACCTACTTTCTACATGGTACATGCCTATTATTCATAAATCATAAGTCATAACATAAAATGTATTGTTAAATGGTTGAATATTAAATTTAGCATATCAAATCAATGTAGGTCCTTAGCAATAAAGGTAGGTAGATAACCTAGTTAATGTAATTTCATGTACCTAAATATACCTACTTAGTACATAACTATCTATAATATTACAATATGTTTTTAAATATCTATACATTTTTTGTACAACAATTAAAGACATGTAGTTAGTTAGGTTTATGAGAATTATGTAAAATCATTTGTTAATTAGTTTGAATCCTTAAATATCAAAATGGTGACAAAAAAGACCCTGCGAGAAATTTTCAAAACATAAATTTAAACAAAATAGATATAAATTGTAACTATTATAATTATAATAATATGATTCATTTGTAAGCTTAACAACCAATGTTACAACAATCTTTAACAATAAAATATAAATATAAAAATTAATGGAACAATATCTTATTAGCTAATTAATAATCTGAATATAGGCAATTAAATTTATTATTTTTCCGTTTGGTTATGGACATTGAATTCAGGATACAGAAATATTGTAGGTGGGTGTAGGTAAATCGTTAAATTTAGTGGGGAGGGGTTTCAACAGAAATCCCTTCTTAGAAACTATATTTTGTTTAGAACCCATACCTAATATATTGTAGGTATATTAATTATTTTTATACTGTTACCTAATTTTTGATCGTAAAACATTTCCGTATGTACCCCGATCATGAAAATGAAGATACATCTTAAGTCTTGACCTATATAGGTACCTAAATTATGAAATTGTGCTGATAATATGTCTTACTCTTTTAGTGTAATAGGTAGGTACCTACGTGAATATTATTTAATAGGTAATAAGTACCTACCTAATACCTAATACATTTGCAGGCGCGGATTCAGGGGGCGGGCTATGGGTGCTCGGGCACCCCCTGTCGTCTAAGGCACTCTAAGCCACTAATAAAATACATTTGTATCCAAAATTCTAAAATAGAAAGATATAACCATTTTTTTCTTTTAGATTCTGAGAGGAGCGTTGTGTGGATGATTTTATACATTTTTATATTATTTTTTTTTGTTTCTGTCATCACCGTATTTAGGGCAGTACAACTGCTTCGATTTTTTTCAACAGTACCTATCTCGATCTATGGGAAAGTGAATATAGTTGGTTCATTCAGAAGGTCAAAATTTAAAATTCCAATAGTTTTAAAAGCGCCTAGAATAACAAAATAAAAACTAAAGAAAAATGGGAATTTTTAAGCAAATCAGTTTTCAACAAAATCAATTTTTGTTTTTGGTATAACTCTAAAACAAATAACCGTAGATACATGACATTTTCACTGAATGATTATATTAGCATTAAATTCTGTACACTATAAAATCCACAAGATCAAAATATTTTGATTTGTTTTGAGCTGTTTACAGAAATAATACATTTTCAGTTTTTTTAGTTTTTTTTTCTATGATAGCCAATAAAATTTTATTTGTTGGGTTAAAAAGCTTGAAAATTTAATACAAGGCTCTTAATATATTGTTACAATGACATTTGAAAAATATTAAATAAACAGTCACAAAATATCTACCAGAAAGTCAAATTACATTTTTACATCATTGGATATTCTCTTGATTTCTCATGTAGGCATGTAGCGATTTTCTTATTTTGTTGTAATTCAAACACGAATAACTGTAGATACTTGAATTTTACACCATATAATAACTTATCAATTCCCATACTTGATAAAATGTACAAAATATTTTGACCTCTTTTGAGCTGTTTACGGACATTTAAAATTTTTTTTGTTTTTTTTTTCAATTGTCAATATAATTTCATTTTTGGGTCAAAAAGGGTCAACATTTAATACGAGGCTCCTGCTATATTTTTACTTTACTGGTTGAAAAAATTTTAAAATACATATAAGTAAAATTTTTTTTATAAGCATTTAAAGTTTGAATTTTGACAAAATGTGTCTAATTTTGAATTTTAAAATTATTTTGTAATTAAAATTGTATATAATGTTTAGCTTTCATAGCTAAGGATTGACAATTTAAAACAAAGTTCCACGTAAATATTTAAATAAATTACTTTGTTCACAAAAATATCATCAAATATACTTAGTAATAATATTATAGCCTGACAGACTGTCTTCGCTCAGAATAGTTTTTCTTATACAAGGATATTGTATCTTTGAATTCAAATTTAATACTATCCATTACAGACTACAGTGATCCAATTGTAACCTACTGTACAGCAGAAAGACACCCACTCGCCCACCTTCTTTTTGTGAGCACCCCCTGTTAAAATCTTCTGGATCCGCGCCTGCATAGTTGGGTAGACCTTAACGCTATATATAAGCCTACAATATAAGACTCTTGGTAGGTTTAGTAGGTATCTATGCTGATTTAATTCGAGGACCTTGCTTTTCGTCTATTTCTAGTTGAACCGGAAGCCAGACTCGATTGGCAATAATAATGGGAGTATTAAAAAATATAGGTAGTAGGTACCAACCTATAAATTATAATTATGTATAGTGTATACCTACCTACGTAGTATAATTACATTATTTAAGTATGTTTATTTGGGATGCTATATGTGAATGTCAAAATACATTAAAATAGTAAATTGAATAGGTATATACTAACGTCTTAACCTATTTAATAATATGTATATACCTAATAATAATGTACTTTTGAGTATATTATTACAATTTTGAACTTTTTCTCCCAAAAATCATTAAAATTTAATATGAGAGACGTTATATTATTACTATCAATTATGTATCGTTTTAAAAATGATCAATGCAAATATCTGAAAGACACCAAGACTATGTATTTATCCTAAATAATCTCGATTGAGGTTTAATACGTTGTATGCCTGTCGATAGTTTATTTCATCCCTGTAACTACGATTAGGTAATAATATTCGTTTTGGCACATCAATTTAATCAACCATTATATTTGAATAGAGCTCTGAGAATCCGTCACGCCCGCCATTGGCCAAACGACAATTACGTCATTTTTGTCTGCAGTCTCCTCGGATTGTTCAGGCGACGAAGGGATAGGCGATGTCTGGGTTCGACGAGACCTTACGCTTTTGCTAAAGAAAAAAAACAACAATATTACCAAAAATAACATGACGTAATTACGTAAGTATAATTTAATAACAATGTTTCAGAAGTATATATCGAATGTAAATTGTAATGTTACATAGTTTTGTCCCATTATTGTATATACTGACTACTATGTTCATGTCTATATAGGTACTATACTTACCTATATAGGTAGGTACCTACTAATTAGTTTTGAGTTTCTGACTTATAAATAGTAGAATAATAATTACTGTGTAGTTATTTTGTAATTATTACCGCAGACTACTGAGCACTGCAAACACGTGCTAGTAGGTATATGTACCTATGTACTTTTATTTCATAGCATTATAGAAGGTATAGCGCATCTTGTTAATCAAACTAGACCCCGCAACCCCAGGGAAAATATGTTCAATAGGTATAATAAATAGTAATATAAATTATAATATTATATTATTATACACACCTCACACATTTCTATATTAATTATTAATAACTATACATAAGTATAGAGATCTTTTAGTTTTAATCATTAAAATATAATGTTAAAATTAAAAACAAATGCATAAAATAATATTCGAATAATATTAATTATCAATTACCTATTTGTTTTAGCGTTATAAGTTATGACCTAAACCTATGCACTATGCGCATCGTACTTCCGTACCAAGTACTACCAACACAGCCAATTCCAAGGGGTTTATTAAAAAAAATATACCTATATAAATATATATATTAATATGTTCTATAAAAACATTTTCACGTTTTTGTGTAGTGAAAATAAAGCCAAGGGGCGGGGTTAATCCTCTCCACCAAAATTAAAAAAATGTGTGTACACCACTACAGGTACTGCTGTGCAAGGATCATTCTAAACCATTTAGGTTATAGCGTAAAATAAAATAATTGAGTAATAGTTATAAGCTCCCAAATAAGTTTCAAACTGTGCTATTTATTCGTATACACGATCGTCGATCATGACTTGTGTACCTAGTAGTGTAGTACCTAGTTGTGTAGTATATAAGTAGCACTACTCGTTTTGTCTGTGTAGTTGTGTGTTATCTACTCCCAATTCATGTAGGTAGTTAGGACAGTTAGGCACCTCCAATGTGTTCGTGCTATAATACGCCACATGATGTAGATCAACTGATCAGAGACAATAATTAGCAGTAAATAATGATTGCGATTTAGAAATTTTGATAATTTTTGGTTTTTACATCTTATTTGTGCAAAGTTTAAAACAATAGAATAATACTAGCTGATCCCGTGCACTCTGTTTCCCGTTACAGTAGAGTATATACAAATTATTTTCACTTTGGGCCAATTTATCACTAGTCAACATAGCGCGACTAACAAAGCCATAACTATACATTTTTTAGGTAGCTAAAAAGGGTTAAAAATACAAATAAAAATTAAGCAATTTAATTTTATAATCATTGTGTAAAATTAATTTTTTAATTCTTTTTGAAAAAATATTGACATATTATATATTTTAATATTGTCTTACTGTGAATTGAACATATCAAAGTCATAAAAGCAAGTCCTGACAATCTAACATTTCCTTGTTGATTCCTCAAAACGATTTTAATCAACCGGCTAAATTAATCATGGTGAAAAACTGTAAACAGTGTAGATAATAGATATACATGAAATGGTTTAATTGACCTGCAATTTCACTATGGGCTTTGGCCTAGGGGGCCTCCAACCTATATACGCCACTGGTCCGTTAAATATACCAACTATATATGACTCAAACTTTGTTCAATTCGTTATTTAATATTCGGTTTATGGTGCTCAAAATTTATCTTTACTTTTCCGTTGCCCGGAATAAAAATTCTGATTCACAGCAGTATATTATCAGGTAGGCAATCTACCTGCGGTAGATCTCGGACCACTTGCTGTTTGTACGTAAGTGTATGATTTAACTCTAAAGTATCAAAGTTATACCAAGTTTGTCGTATTCCACCTATGGTGGATTAATATAATCAATTAGTACAAAATCCTAATCTAACCTAACCGTACTACTGTACTAGTATCAGATGAATAAAAAAAACCAAATTTAACCATTTTTAAATTAGCGTGTCTTCTTCCCAGAGGTCTAATCTACACACAAACATTCATTATGTATAACATTCAATAATAATACAAATCAACAAACATGCCCGATTAACCAATAGCAACCAATAAATAATACACTGTTGCGCCACTATTGTATTTTTTACATCCAGATTTCCTACTTTTCCGGTGGATTTTCCTAAAATTGTCTTCCGTAAAAACCTTCTCCTGGCGATTACAAACACCTTAAAAAAAATTTGAGCCAAATCGGACCAGCCGTTCTCGATTGACGAGGTAATGACAATTTTTCAAGGTCCATTTTTACATATTATATAGATAATAATGTTTAATAAATTATGTGAAAATTTCTTTCGGGTGCATTTCTTGGGATTTGGGAAATATTGAAAACGGAACTCACTGATTGTTTTCGGACTGATGGACGTACAAGTCGTCTTGGTCCTGAGCAATGTACGAACAACGGCAGCACATCCGTTTGCTGTGCACTTTGAACACATGGGTAGCCAACCGTTCGGCTCTGGCAGCTTTGTACTCGCAGAATACGCACTCGTAGGGCTTCATGTGGGTGTTGAGGTGCCGTTTTAGACACCAATTGTCGACACCCGACCACGGGCAAAACGTGCAGCAATACCGTTTCTCAAAGTTTTTCCGGCTGCCCTTGCCCTTCTGTTTGGTCATCGCCACCGTACTCGTTGGCACAACCGAGTCCACTGCCAAAATAGTATCGGGCGCAAACATCACCTAGAACATGACGTGTGTGGTCAGTTATTAATTAAGATAATGCTGTTATTTGTTGTTATAGCTTATAATATTTCAATATTATTATATTCGTTAAACATGAGTACCTACATCATTTAGCAGCTTAGCCGTACACGATTTGTGGTAGGTAGGTACCAACTGGCTACTATACAATTTCTTAAGCAGTTAAACATTATAAATACAATAACTAGGTAAATAATTAATATCAGTGAAATAATTAGGAGTTTGTCTTAAGGATGAGGGGGGGGGGGTAGATATTTTTTTAAACACAAAATACTAAGTACTAAATACTACATAAATCAAATAAATATATAATAAACTAGCTGAACGGTGCTGCCAGGAAAAAGTTTTTGATTAATTAACTACTTGGTGTAATAGGTGTAATTCGCTGGGGCCGCTGTGCATATCGAAGCAAAATCATATTATATTTTAATTTTTAGCCATCTCCCGTGGAGTTGCCAGTGAGTCTCGCTAATGGTTATGCGAACAGTAGGTACGTATATCTATTATGAGGTAAGCAATCTTCCTGCGTTAGATTACAGACACAGTGAAGTTGGTGACAAGGCAAATTAATCAGTCAGGGCATATCAATTTTTTCCATGTTTACCCTTTTAACCCCTGTCGGGGTTGAATTTTGAAAAATCCTTTCTTAGTGGGTGTCTACATCACAAAACAAAACTACTGTCCAAATTTCATACTCATAGCTTCAGCGGTTCCGGCTAGGTGATGATGAATCACTCAGGACAAGTAATTTTATATATAGAGATAGAGATAAAACATTTTCAAGTACAGTGATGAGTGGTACTTACTGCTAGGAAATAGGAATACTATTTTATCAAAAATCCTAAAACTAATATATTATACACAAAATAATTAAATTTTGCTTTAAAATTTTACACAATTTAGTCCCTCTAAACAATATTTAATATTGTAATGAATTCTTCAAAATATAAATACTGAATATATTAAAATTAAATAATAATTATTAAAATATTAAATTTATTTGAAATATAATGTACTTACATAGTTGTGTGTACTTTTTTGTACGGTTTATAAAATAAACTCTAAATTTCTTGTATAATATATATATATAATAAAGGCTCTGAAGGGGAATCTACCCCCCTCATCGCCATCTTAATTACGTCCCTAATTAATATTAATATCCTATGGGGTGGTATGCCCTATATAAAGTGTTAAATATTTAAATGTAAGTATTTACCAATATAGGTAGCAACGTAGCAATTTAATATCAACTTCTATTATATATATTTTTATTCTAAGAGTTTGTTAAATATTAATTAATTTGGTTCAGTATAATTTATTATTTTACGAACTATACGTTAATGCAAAATTTAAATTTGAATATATAATAATTATATCCCCTCAACAAGTGTTCGGATTAGATAAGTATTTTTTTATCTAGATAAAGATAAAAAAAAAGAAATAATTTTTTTTTAAATTGATTTTAAATTTAGGTATATTTTAGTTGGGCACTAGGAACATAATAATAACAATAATGATATAAATAAAAATAATTACATTATTTATAAATCATAAACTTGGTTTGAGAATCTGTATAAATATTTAAAATGCGTTTATACAATTTTGCGATTTTTATCAATAAAAAATGTATCTAGATGAATTTATTTAGATAAGTAAAAAAATTATCTAAGATGAACGTTTAGATACCTTGTAACTATTTATCTAGATAAGATAAAAGATGAACAAATAATATTATCTAGATAAGTCCGAACACTGCCCTCAATAGATGAACCCATTACTTGATATTTGGTGTCCTAAAAAGACAGGTATGAAAACAATATTCTGGACTCAACACATGATATTACTGGGTAGTGGTTAGTATACATATTACAATTTAAAGGTGGTATAGGAAATTTTACAATTTGTATAAAACTTGTGTTTTTTGGTATACATTGGTTGCACACGCCCAATAAAAATCTAAATCTAGGTCCAACTCACCGGTTTTATCTGGTTAGCTGGTATCGGTATTTGTATAGTATGCGTGCCGGTCTGTTCGTTAAAATTGACCACTGCGATGTTGACGACCGTCTGCTGTTGCTGTTGTTGCTGTTGCTGCTGTTGTTGTTGGTCTTCCAACACGAGGGGATTGTTAGCTGCAATAATCGGTGCAGGGGGCAGTGGTTGTTCGTCGATCGTCCGTGACACGATGATTTGCGTCTCCGGTTCCAGCGGCGGTGGATCGCCCGAATACAGCGTCACCCTCTGCAGGTGATGTTGATGGTGAGCCGAGGCCGCGGCTGCAGACTTACCGAAAGGGTCTCGTTTCACTCGGCTCAAGCAGTACTCGTGTTCTCTGTGCATGCGCGTATAGTGTTTCTTGACATGGTCTGCCCGGTTGAACTGTTTCTGACATATGTCGCACTGGAACGGTTTGTCTTCCTTGTGTATGTTCTCGTGTCTGGTGTACAAGTCCCGCCGGTCGGTGGCGTACGGACAGTGGGCACAGTTAAACCGCTTCTGAGCGGTCTGCGTTTCCGTGTCGGCAGCGTTCAGTCGCATTTCGTCGTCGGCGGCTTCCGATTCGGCGGATGCTGCTACGGCAGCGGCCGCTGCGGCAGCGGCGGCGGTGGCTATCGCTTTATCTGCGGCCGCCTTCAACCGGCCCAGGTAGCTGGTTACCTCTTCGAGTACAGGGCTCTCCTTCCACGATTTCCGGCCAGCCTGTTGATGCGTCCCGTGTTCGGCCACCACGTTATGTTGTCGGGCCAAGTGCAAGCGGATGCACTTTGTATACGCGCTCGCGTACGGACACTGTGGGCACTGGAACACCTTGACGTCAGCGTGCGTGCCCAACCAGTGTTCGGCCACACTAGACAGAAGGCCCATGGAATCGCACTCCTGACACTTGAACAGTTTCTTGTCTACGTTGTAGCTGCCGATTTTCGAATTAGTCCAAGCGATCGTTTCGTCACTGGTCACCCAAGGGTCGTCCTCAGGCTGCGATGGTTCACCGAACGACTCAGTCTCATCGTTGTCGATCATGCTCAGGCCCTCTTCTACCATTTTGTACGCGTCTTGACCATCAAACTGCCTGTCCTCGGACGACGTTGTGTCTTGTCCGTAAATTTTTTTCGTAATCTCTTTGAACATGTCCTCGTAAATATCCATTTGCACATCTGCCATTGCGGCTTGCCTACCATCTAATTCCACCACCGGGATCGTTGTACGGTGCACGCTTCACCTTAAATTAAAATATTTTAAACATTAATTATTAATAGGTTTATCTAAGTACTTTTTTTTTATTGTGTCTGTATGCAGGCATGTAGGTAGTCATGTAAGTTGGAGAATTAATAATTAATGACTGTATAGAGGCATAGAGCTATATACTTTGACCCATTACGGTCATCAACGTGTTAACTTTTACACTTCTTAGATACCATCTGGGAATAAAATTGTAAATTAATTTAAACAATTATTAAAAAATAAATAGATTATATATTAATGCGATTATGATATCCACCTAATAACTGTCGATATTTTTGAATAGCCGGCACATACATCTTAAAACTTTCACATTAAGATTAATTATTGTATTTACTATAGAATAAGACACCTGTTACATCCTGTGGATGACCTAAATAAATCAAACTAACTTTCCATTCCGTCCGTTTTGCATTCTATTGAAATTTAGGAGTATATTTTATTCAGATATAACATACGGTTCAATTTACAGTTGAATTATTTAATAAAAATAAAATAATTGTAATTAAGCTCTATAAAAATGTTCATTTTTATGTTAAATTACTACCCCTATTATATACTATTCTCCAGAACACATTTGAAACTTATATACGTAATACGTTATATATTTATTAGTTATGACTTATTAGTGATTAATTGGTTATAGTGCTGCCATTAGGTACTATAATAGTATATTCTATGCAAATAATTAAAATTAAATAAATAAATAAAAAATACAAGACTACATCACATGGTCACATGGATAATTATTAATAATTAATTCATATGACTTAAAACAATTTTAGTATTATTGTTTTGAATATTATTTTCCAAAAGTTTTAATAGTACCTAATGTTGTTCTTTAGTAGGTACCTCTTTTATCCACGTTATCAATGTTGCTATCAGGAATCAGAATTTCAGCTTTTTCTTGAGTAAACAACGTTTGTTTTTTTATATTTATTTATTATGTGCACACTTTTAGATAAAAACTTACGTCATACATTTTATGTGTAATATATAACACAGACAAAATTGTTTAGGTAGTTTATTTAGTAATGGGACTATAAAACAAAGTAAAATGATAACAAATCATAAAATAATTTTTATTATATATAATTATAAAGTATTAATTGAAAATTAATAATTATGCGTAGTATAATTTATTCACCTCATCTATGGACACGTATTATATGTTCACATTCGGCAATTGTTTCATTTTATTAAAATATATATATATAGAAAAAAATGTTTCAATTTATTGGAATTAAATTGAAACAACAATGATTAAGAATGAAATTATGAGTGGGTACGTAAACAAATACCATGATCGATTTGTAACTTGTTTATATGATATAATATATATATATATATATAATAGGAACTAGTATTATTTAGTGTGACTCAGCAAGCATGCTGCTTATCCCAATTTTCTCCTTCAGTAATACATTTATTCAAATTCTGGTTTTTGGAATTTTCAAAAATATTTAAACACTGTTTTTTCACTATTCAGATTTGGAGAACCAATTGACTGTTATGCACTAGCTAGGCGACTGGCTTTTTTTTAAAAAAATGTATGTATCTTAATCAAAATTCGAACGAGTAGTTTCAGAGTTATTAGAATATATAATATACCAATGATAATATTATAAAAATGGGTATATAAAGAATAAAAATATCAATTATATGTAACATAATAAAATTTATTGGATCTGGTAATTTCTTTATACTCGGACAATAATTGTTAAAATATTTAAAACATTTAAAATATTGATAGAGTAATATTAATTACCAACATTATAAAATCATTATTGCCTCCAAAACTGTTTGTACTGCAAATTTTAATTTAGATAGGTAGGTACATAAACATTTTCAGAAAAATCATCTGATTAACTATGTATACAGGAGAAATGGGTGATTATCATATTTTTTGGAAAATAAGTAAGTATCGCCACGATACTTTCCTTAAATGGTTTGTACAACTCAAGCATTTGAAAATATTGTCCTTAAGTATACATACAAATTCTAAAAACAGAATTTAAAAAAATCAAGGAGAGCTCGCTTGGTCATCATTGTTGTATACTATCGGGAGTTAATATTTCAGTTAAGACGTCTGATAGAAGTACACATGGGCACAGTGCCACAGTGATAAGACATATTATATTAATATTAATACTTGTAAAAATCGGGGTTTCGCCTAATATGTCGTATAACAATTATTCATATCGCAAATAATATATTACACTAGTTAGTAGTTATACTACGAAGTGGAATTTTCTAACATTTCATGTTTTGAAACATTTTTGTTTTTTAAATGTATGACTCGCAGTTATCTACGGGCTAGATATGCAGCTTACCTAAGACCAACAACGCAATAGGTTGCAAGCATATTTAATATAAATTTTGAAATCCATCCTTAAAACAAAATATAATACTATTATTATTATAATAATTAATATTATATCATATAATTTTTACATTATTATCAAGATAAGTATTTGTTTTCAAGCCACCTATACATCGATGTAGCACAATTGCCTGCCTAAGCGCCGTGTAACGAGTTAGTCGGCGACCCGCACCGACGACGTCACAAAAATACCAAATTAACTATAATATTCATATTATTATTAAACTAAAGCTATAGTCGGCAATCGTCGGATCGGACATCGGTGAATAATAATAATATTATAGCAGTTGATATTATCACCGCTGTAACATTATTAACTAGAACAAGTTGTTCACGCGTCTTAATATTATAATACAGACATATTCGTAAAATATTATGATAATATCATAGAGGTCGAGTGTTCGACTGTCACTTCGTATACATAATCGCCTGTCCGATAATCAATAAGCCCGGAACGAACGCGTACCGAGCGCGGTACACACTTGTTGTGTGATAACACGGCGGTGGTACGCTACATAATATTATGACAACGAGATTAAAGTATGGTTTTAATATTTAAGCATGGTAATAAAAACGTGATACCGTTATAGCTGCAGAACTTATGTGGTGTTGGAGACGGTGATATGTGTTACCATAGTATTACTACTCCTAAGCGCATTCGCCGGTTGTCCGTAATATAATAATATCATACAGCTGCGGCCGCCATATGGGTCTGTGGTGTATGCCATATGTAGGTGGGTATGACTATTTTCGGTTCGTATCCGTATTATATATAATTCATCGCCATCAAATATATTATAATAATAACATATCATATACCGTATAATATTGTCTTCGTCGTCGTCGTTGTTGTTGTTGTGTGTTATTGTGGTTATGCGTGTTATTGTTACGTACCGATGTCGTAGAGAAGCCGTGACGTGTTCCCGCGGCGTCCGGATCAATTGTCGACCGCGGCCGAGTGGCGGTGACGGGAAAAATGACGACGGAACGACAAATGACCGCGCGCCCAGGGAAATGATAATAAACGACTACCACTACAAACGTATGTGATGATTGACTTAAATAAATGCATTGCGACGTGTGCAGAGAGTATTGTGGCCGCCCAACAGCACCCTCTGCCGGTGGACAGATACGTTTTCCCGGCAATAACTGACAACAACGGACATCCGTCGTCCAACGTTAAACCGTTTCGTTTCGCGTTTACCCAGTGAAAAAATAACGGGTAAAAAAGAAAACGACTAATGAACTTTGGGGAGGGAGTTTTAAGTTTTTTTTTTATAAATTTTTTTTCGGTTTCAGACGTTACAGCAGCCGGACTGGGTGGAAGAAGAGGTGGCCGGCTGCGAACGCTGTACAGCCGTGGGGTAGGTGTAGAGCGTAGCGCGCAAGGGCGTAGCTACGAAAATCGTTCGATCGGCTACAGCTTTCGGTTGCTAACGGCGACCGGCACTTTGGATTTCGCAGCCAGATAGCGTGAACCCTGTAAATAGCACATTTTCGAACTGCCAAATACGAGAGGTTTTATATACATTTTCGTCCGTGTCATCCGTAATATATGTGGAGAGGAAAGGGTTAGGATTTATAACGGTATTTTCTACGATTTAAAGACAAGAATCGTCGTGAATGATTGAATTTCCGAAATCATGACACGTCAAAATCAATGATCATTATTATATTTTACTCGTCGTACTTTGGAAGCCGTTTATAAAATAATGACTTAGGTATACACACGTATCGTATTTCCTGCAACAGTAGATGGTTTAGCTAAGTAGGAATATACAGGCTGCAACCTGCAGTAAATATTGACTTTATAGAAACGAAGGTATATGGCTCGTTATTGCTTATATATTATAATATAGTTGCCCGTATTGGAGGAGACTTATGTAAACGCTGTTGCGAATTAAAATTCGCGGATACCTTTGCATACAGCAACGTGTATAACATCGAACAACACGGTTGCCAGGAGGAACGGAAATATCGGAAACACGTTTAGTTTTACTAGCAACGTGCGCTATGCTGATGTACATTTCATATATTATATGCATTGCATGTTACATTACCGGAACGTCAAAAACTGTTTAAATTCTTCTTTTCTCATAGGAAAAGTGAAGTCTATTTCAAAACGTATTCATGTATAAGATCAGTACACCCAAAACGTATACAATATTCATAATCAGTATTGTTCGGAATGCATGGTATTTAATATAATATTTATATATTATAATGCATTATATCGTAGGGACAGTTTTACGAAATTATACATTATAATATAATATTATGATAATTGATAACTATAAAAGATGGAAAAAATATTATGAGGACTCGACGTCGATTCCCGTGTGTGAATCGTCGACGACAGACAGCAACGTATATATTAATATTATGATGATATAAAAACAAAAAATTATTTTAATAATAGTAGAATATTAAAACGCAATGAGGGCTCGCGTAGAAAAGTGACACAGGTATAAGACCCCACCGTCACAGTCGATACCACGTCGAATGACGACGATAATATAGTTGTGGGTCATAAAATATTGTATAGCAGCTCCGTGTAAATGTAAATGTTTACAGGTGTTTGGAACGGTAATGGGTCTGTGCCGTTTTGGCCGCACTGATTGGTGAATTACGGATGACCCGGTTTCCACAAGTCTTTGTGTGCATGTGCGCGAGCGCGGGCCATGCAAGTACACGAAGTGTATAGCGGGTGCGCGTGCGCTCGGTCCACAAGCGCGCGCGCGCTGCCGTGAAAGTGTGTGTGTGTCGTAATGCGGGTTGGCGCGCGCGTGTGCTTGTGTTTGTGCACGTGCGTGTGTGTACGTGTGAGCGTGTGCGGGCGCGGGCGCGTTGCCGTTTTCGCGCAGGGTGCGGGAGGGTCCTTCTAGTCGGGCTAATCCGCCGTCTATGTGTGTGCGTGTGCACGCGGCGTCAGGTCAACTGGAGTAGTGCGTACTCCCGTAAGTCCTCCGCGTCGTCAGTTTTTTGAGTGTCTCGGTCCGTGCGGTGGGCTCTACCTCGCGCTGGCTGGCTGGCGAGGCTCGTCGTCCTCTACACACGTTATTATTGTTATTATTATTATGCCTTCGATGCAGCAGTGTACAATTCTATTATATTGTAGTGGCGTAAGCGTGCGATAATTACCATAAAGTCATCGTTACTTATTTAACGCCGTCGCGGTATGTGATACTAAGTTACTAACTAATATTATAATATTATTGCCGAGTGCAGACATATATAGAATACAACATATAATAATATTATAATACAATAATAATATGTTTCGTTGTTTTTGCGCGCGCGCGTAGCCGTGTGGCGCTATTTTTAACGATATTATAATAATAATAATATAGTGTCGTCAACCGTTGTGCACGAAGGTATATCGCCGGAACAGTTCATCTTCTGTTCGTTCGTTCGTTATTATTTTTATTACTGTTGTAGTATTATGATGCGGTTGGCAAGCGATTTGTGTGGTGTACCGTCACCGTCGCCGTAGTGGGCTCAACGAGACGCCAAAAGGATAGCGACCGGTGAAGGGATCGGCCGAAAAAAGGAAGGAAACGAACACCTTATATCAGAGATCGAACGGCGGAAGTCAAAAGTTCTGGCCGGACGTCGATGATGCCATTCGGCTGGTCACCGGGCATCAACACCACTAGCACCGGTATCAATCGCTCCTGCACCAGCACTAGTAGCACCGGCGGGAACGTTGGAGTGTTCGGCGAATGGAGTGCGGCCGGACAACGCGACGGCTTCGCGTACAGGCCGTGTGTACCACGTACGCGGCAAGTCATGTACCTGAAATCAGTTGACAATCCTATCTGAATGATCCAGCGCAGCGGTGTCTCAAAAGGTACACGTACCCCGTAGACGATTCCCACACCCTTTCCCTTCCCAACCAATACCCCGCACCAGTCCTCCACGCCAAAGTCCGCCTACCCACACACGCCCCACAATCGTCTACTACTCTGCTCCTTACTCACGCACCACCCATCGTCCTCCACGGCTCTACTCGCCACCGTCTCACCACTTATTCGTTATACTCCCCCATCGCTATCCTTCCACGCGACCATTTCCGTTATATATAGGTGCACTCTATAAATGCTTCCCCTCCACCAAAACCGGTAGCACCGTGCAACGCGCCACGATTAATTTTATTATAGCCAACATAGCTTTTATAAATGTACATTATAATAATCATGTCGATACGATTTAGAGATACATCATCTATATTACACTTTTTCATAATTGTCCCATTATTGATAGATATTGGCGATGATGCTATAATATGGTTAAGCTCTACATTGTAACTTTAATTATTAATACAGGTATTATTCAGTTCATATTTTGTTTCTAGTTAAATATTGTTAAAATCATTTATTTTATAATATACCTGAGGGTGCAGGTTATTACATACTACCATAATAGACACAGATTTAACTTCAATAAATGTTGACATTATTTTAACTTCTATAATGTCTGAATGTAAAACTGAACACATTATTCAATTATTATAAACATGAAATAATATTACGTCATTTGGTTAGGTATTGTATTTAGTTCACTACACGTTCACTCATACACTTTTACACCTGTTATTAAAGCGTACAATTTAATTTAAATGTAATTGTCGTAAAAATTGAAACATTTGTATACTTTTTCTCAGAGAACATTTTCCTGTGTTGAATGTTTGTATTTTTGATATAAAATAATGACAATATATCTGTGCTTAATTGTCTGGTTTGACGACCTTTAGATGATTAATATAAGCATTTAGGTACGTAAAACACTATATTATGATACTGTACATTCGCAGGAATGATAATATGTCATTAAATTATTTGCATATTTTTTTTATTGATTTAGGTAGAAAAAAAAAAGCTCTTAAATAAAATTACTTTTATAATTTTACTGATTATTATACCTATTATACTATAATATTTATACATAATAACTTATTAAAAATATAAATATTTGGAAAACATTTTTCGGGGCAATAAAAGTTAGATACCAATTATAACGGTTGATTACACTAGCTTATTTTTCTCGTATACTACTATGACTAGTTTGAAATTGTGGAACAGTATTGGTACTTTAAAATTAATTCTATACAAAGGAAAAATGTAATGCATTCAGCTTTTATTAAAGATCTTGATCATTCTAGATAAAATCAAGCTTTGTTAAAAATTATTTTTCAAATATTATAGGTATAAGTTTTAGGATTTTCTTATTAAAAACTCCAATATCCGAGGTAAGCGAAGCGAGTTGAGAACTATTTTGTTAATCATTTTATGTCTAAATTTGTTGTAGTTTTATTTTAAATATGCTTTTATATTTATAATTCAAATAATTCAATGCTATAACGTCTTATTGTATTATTTGTATTAGTTGTTGCATAGGTATATTTACTGATTTATCAAGTATACCTATAGGCTATAGGTACCTAAAGAACACAAATGAATACAACGTTTTTAAGATTAATAGATTACCAGCTTCTAATAGTTTTTGAATATTTTTATTGAAATCTGTACTATATATGGCTGTATGATCTGGTCGTTAGTTGCATATGACCCTTTGATAACACCTCGATCGTTTAAATTTACAAAATACAATAGCACATCGCCATTTGCGTTGTAGGACTTTAATCAGCTTGGTGAATTACTTGTTTGTGTTATTACTTATTAGAACTTAAAAAAACGAACAAATATTAATAACGAATAAAAATTGGATTTTGTCATATTTTGTCATTATGGAAAACATTTATTAGTTTTTTTTTACTGTCGGAAGGTTTCTAAAATGTTATATATATATTATATTATTATATCGTAGCTGTTTATGACACGAGAAACTCCTGGCCGTGAATATTTAAAAAATCTAATATTTTCCTATTTGTATTTAAAAAGGTACTGGGCTTATGAAATATTGTGTAACTAGAGGTATTGAAATATATTATTATAGATAATATTTCCATTACCTTTATTTTTAAAATATTACCTATAGAAAATTATAGGTAATATGTAATTTTCATACAAAGTATTAATAACATTTATTAAAACAAAAGAAATATTATTAATTAATACTAAATTATACTTAACATATTTTTTGTAATTTACAAATTATTTACCTATACTATAATTTGTCCACACTGTAATATGCATCAATTAAACTATCAACGCCGTGATTATATTATAGTCCCTCATCATAGGGAGACAAAAAATTCTCTTCAATACTCAGTAATGGCATGCAATTGAGTTGTATGATACACATAGTTGACCGTAAATAATTTTTTAATCGTTTGAGGCAAGACAAATAACTTCTGTTAGAAATTGGTGTTCAGACATAATTATATTATTTGTACCCTATCTTTATTAGGCTACACATCCGTTAGAGAATCCTCTAATATTAATATACATATTATAGGTATATTTAATATGTATATAACGAGGAGAACTACTTTTAATTTATTTGTCAAATATTGAAATAATACTTAATACTATTTAAAAATATTAAAATGTAGGTATACATTCTAAAGAAAATGTTTTGTTCTATATTTTCCAAATCTGCCCGTTGCCAAAATCTTGATACTCAAGGCCCAAGCCTATAGGGCCTGTACCTGATTAAAGTTACGCAAAAACATCAGGAAGACGGGAACATACTTTTATTTATTACAGCCATTGACTAAAATATTAACAACTTATAATAAAATTCATTGTAGGTAGGTATAGGTTATATAATCTGCTAAAAAATTTAATGATAATAAAACCTATTATAATTTATAGTCTATGCATTGTGTAATTATTGTTTTAATTTCTATATTTGGAATAATTGGGTATAATACAAAGTTACATATAGATTCTGAAAAGCTTTGTCATAGTATCATAATATCTCAGTGCCTATAATATGTATGACTACGTTGATATATTACAAAATAAAACAGTATTTAATTAAATGTTGTATACCTTCTTTTTTTTATACATATTTTACAATAAAAACTGGTAATATTAATTCTTTATTAAAGTATGTTGTTGTTAATATAATAATTAAAAGTTTCGGAAAAGCTCTGTCATTAAAATTTTAAAAATTAAGAATTTAATAAAATAGAGAAATTTACTTACTAATTACTATTATCCATAACACATTATAGTGAACATTGTATTATTTTAATTATTTTTCTTCGGCACAAGTCACTATGTATATCAATTTGTAAAATTCCTTATACAGAATAAAGTATGTGATCGTTAACGACATTAAATATTAATTAATAAATAAATTGAGTTTTGAACATGAAAAAGTACTTTTTCAAAGTTAAGTATTTTTTATATTGCGTTTTAGGCATAAAATGTTTTAGTATAAATACGAGTTGGATGATTACAACAATGACAATTTGATATGTATATATATTACATTGAGATAATGCCATATAGTACGGGTGACTGATGGAAATGTTTATAAAGATGATAGATTAGATTAGATTCCACAAAAAGAGACCAACCGCTTAAAAAAGAAAAAATGTTGAGAAAAAACGTGAAGATAAAGAGATAATTAAAAAAAAAAATATGACTGTGGCACTTGAAAAGTTTCCCCTCTAAATCATTTACTTTCTTGAAAAATAAAGTAAATACTTAATTTTAGGAAATATAATACAGTTAGTAATAAATGACAATAATTTATCAAGTATAGTTTTTATTTTTTTTAATCAGTGTTATCAAATTTGAGGATCAAATAGTTTATATTTATAATTCGATCATTATTATTTATCAATTTCGTTTTAACACGTTTCACTGAAATCAGTTTAAATATTAAACATTCAAATAATAAATTATATTATTTTTATCTTCTTACAATAAAATATATTTAACTTCACCTACTACCTAGGTACCTAATTCATTATTTTTTTGATATGTAGATTTTGCAATGTTAAAATAAATCGATTTAATATTAATTGTACAGAAAGTATGGTTTGTTTGTATTTAGTATCTATACTTTATTTGTAAAAATAATTTTGTAATTCTGTAGGTTTATTATTTTGAAAGGTAATTTATTATTCCATAAATTTCTTAACAAAATTATTGCTGGTTATTTTATATATCATGATAAACCGATAAAATGTTATATTTTTTAAAAACGAATTTAGTTTGAATGTTGGTTAATATCTAGTAGTAAAAAAATAAAGCAAATTAAGTTTCTTTATGTTTATAATATTTTATACACTTAATATGTTTTTACTAACATACATTTATCGGTACTTTTAAAATACAAGTAGAAAGTTAAATGTAGTAAGTTATCAAAAATCAATATCAACTGAATATGAAACAACTAGGTACCTATTTACATTTTTTAGTAGGTATAATAGTAATAAATTTAATAAACAGTATAATATTTTATATATTTTGCATCTATGGACTATGACAATAACAGATTAATACGTGAATTATTTATTATTTATAAGTGTATTATTATAATGTATTATTTATAAGTGTAGGATATAAATCTATTACCAAATATATTATAAAAAGCATTTAAGAAAATGCATTTATAAAAAAAACATAATTTTTTGAGCGTATTATATCGTTTATTTGTTTTTATATATAGCCATCGGTATAATATAATAATAATAATGATCGTTTTCCAGGTAAAATTTTTCTTTGAAATTAAAATGGATATTGTTGAATATAAGTTAAAAACAGAACGACTGATAATTTAAAGAGTTCGACGGAAACATTTTTTACAAAAATCTTTGAGGTCATAAATCACGACTAAACTAAAAAACTACATTCAATACGAATCACGAATG